ATACCTAAACTTAATAGATTTTAGATTTATAACTTAAATTTATTTTTTTGGCATATAAGTCCTCAAAATATTGATGGAACATTACATTTTAGTACCTACAATTTTTGTGTATTACATATTAGTACCTAAACTTTTGAAGTTCTACAAAAAGGTCTAATTTTTGTATGTGTAATTAAAAACCCCTCGAATAAATGGATATCAATAATCAAGTTGGATATCAATACCCAACTTATACACATTTAAATTATAAAAGTAAATATTCATACCCTACTCAAACCCATCTACAAACCTCCAAACTCATATATACGTCACCCATACCTACACATAATCAATGGGCTACTAGGGTTTAGATAAATATCATTTATTAGCTAAAATATTCAAGATGTTTTAAATTGGATGTTGACTGTCATATATCTCTTCTCAGACAATATTACTAACAAAAGTGCTAATAAAAAATTAATTTTAGACTAATAATACTTACAAAATAACAACATCACCACCTAGTTACTCTTATAAACATCATGGGCATCTTATCCTAAACAAAGCACATCACCAGAAGAAGGAGCCTTGCAGAGATCACGGCGGATGGAAGCCAATCCGGAGAAGGAGAATCAGCCACTCCGAGGGCGACGGCGGCAGGCCTCAAGCCGCCAAACCATGAATGAGACTATTAAGCTGGAATTGTAGGGGGTTCGACCAATCACTTACAATGAGTTACTGCGGCAGGCTTTGCCGACAGTATGGCCCCTCAGTGCTCTTTCTCATGGAAACTAAAAAAGAAGACTCCTTCATGGAACAAAAGAGGAGAGCAATGAGGTTTGATCACGGGGAATATGTTAGCCCAGGAGTTGAAGGAAGTAGATTAACACTTTGGTGGAAGGATGATGTTGAAGTTTGCATCCTTGACTCTTGTAAGTCCTTTTTGGACACAAGTATTAGCAAGAATGGTGTGAAGTTTTTTTTTTGTACTTTTGTCCATGCTCCTACCACGGTGGTAGAGAGGAGAGCCCTGTGGGATCGACTTACGATCTTGAGGGGTAGTCAGGAAGAATCATGGCTGGTTGTTGGAGACCTCAATGTGGCCTTGTTCCCTTTTGAAAAGCAAGGGCGTTATCCCCTAAGGAATGAAAATGTTGCCCTTTCACGTACTTCATCGACAGGAATGCATTGGTTGACCTTGGTTTCTCAGGACAAGTGTTCACTTGGAGCAATAACCAGCAAGGCAATGACCTTCATCCCATGAAGCACCCACCCTGTACCCCTTTCAGGTTTGACAAACGATGGAGGGAAAATGAGGAATTCTCTCATATCATCAGTAACCGCTAGGCAAATGGCGGTACGGTCCAGGGCATTATGAAAGAGTGTCAAAGTGAACTACAAGCCTGGGCAAGATCTGACCGGACGAGTAAGATGAAGAGGGAAATGGAAATTAAGTTGAGGCTTCAAGAATTATAGGGTCCCATCAGGACCCCTCATACAGTTACGGAAGAGAAACACCTCCGTCGCGAATTTGAGCTCTGGTGGATCTCTGAAGAAACATTCTGGGAGTAGAGATCTAGAAACAGCTGGCTACAAGAAGGCGATCAAAATACTGGCTTCTTTCACGCTAGTACAATCAAAAGGAGAAACAGAAACTGTATTCTTAAGCTCAACGATGCAAATGGGAATTGGATCGACAAGGCACAGGATCTCGACGAGCATGTCAATGAGTTTTACCGTAATCTCTTCACCACGGGGATTTCGACATGTCTCTACTGACCGGGTTCCCAGGGCTGGTCTCATAGGAGATCAATGAAGGTTTAACAGCACCAATAGCAAGAGAAGATATTCGAAAAGCAGTCTTCCAACTGGGAGCAAACAAGGCACCAGGACCTGACGGTTTCCCAGGACATTTCTTCAGGAAATTCTGGAACATCCTGGGAGATATTTTCTGTGCAGAGATCATCAGTTTCTTCCAAACAAGCGTCATGCCGGACAAATGGAATGATACTTTCATTACGCTCATACCTAAGGTGGAGGCACCAAAAGTGATCGGACAATTCCGACCCATCAGCTGTTGTAACTTTCGCTATAAAGTGATTACCAAAATCATGACCAATAGACTTCATCCTTGGTTACCTGACCTGTTGAACGAGCTCCAGTCTGCCTTCACAGGTGGATGACAAATTCAAGAGAATATAATTATTGTCCATGAAGTTCTTAACCACTTCAAGAAACACAAAATGGGCAAACGTAAGGACATGATGAAGAAGCTTGATATGACGAAAGCCTACGATTTGGTGAGTGGGAGCTCCTCATTATTCTCCTGAGAGCTTACGAATTCAGTGAAGTCTGATGCGGCTGGGTTCGATCATGCATCTCGACAGTGAAGTTCAGCCTGCTATTCAATGGGGAACCCTCAACTGAATTCCAGTCTTCGAGAGGCATTCGTCAGGGGGGTCCTCATTCCGCTCTTCTCTTCATACTTATGTCTAATGCGCTTCCTTTGTGATTGAGAAGGAAGCCTAGAGACAGGTTATAAATGGGCTCAAATTTAATAGATCCTTCCCGACTCTCACCCACTGCCTGTTTGCTGATGACACGGTCATTTTTGGCGAGGCCTCTGTGAGCGAGGCAGAAAAGATCCTGAGCATCCTTAATGATTATGGATCGATCACAGGCCAGGAAGTTAACAGGGAAAAATCATCAATGTTCTTCAATTACAATGTGCCGATCGAAGAACAGGAAGGGATAGTACAAACATCGGGGTTCGCGGCTTCTATCTGCCATTCCAAGTACCTTGGAGTACCTACAGAGTGGGGAAGATCCAAAAAGGAAACTTTCCAATTCCTCCACCGAATGGAGACCAGAGGTGAATCATGGAAGAGCCTACTTCTTTCTCCTGGCGGGAAAGAGGCCATGCTCAAGGCTGTCTTCCAAGCCATCCCCTCCATTATGTGCCTGTTCCTCCTCCCACGGTCGACAACGAAAAAAATGAACGCCATGCTCAAGAACTTCTTCTGGGGAGGCTCCTTGTCCAAGAAGACCATTCACTGGAGGGCTGGTCACGTGCTTTATGCCCCGAAGGAGGAGGGAGGCTTTGGTTTCCGATCGTTCCAAACCTTCAACTTGGCACTACTGGCCAAACAGGCATGGAGAGCAATCACAAACCCTGACGCCCTGTGGATTAAGGTACTTAAAAGCCTCTACTTTCCACACTCAGATTTCTTGAATGCTAAGAAGGGAGGTAAAGCTTATTGGATTTGGGCGAGCCTGTGGGAAGCCAAAAAATGGATGAAACAATGAGTGATCCGAGTTATCGGCAACGGGAGATCCACCAGAATGTTCCAACCCGTGGAGATTCGACCGAGTAGGACCCCTCCTCCAGTTTGACTGGCCTGATGTGTCAACTGCTGACCAATGGATTGATGGGATCTCTAGAGAATGGAATTTTGACCTGCTTGCAGATTTCCTTAGCCCACAAGACATGAGGCAGGTTTCTACCACCCCTATTGGCCATGACTCCCTTGATGACTTCTGGTCATGGAGATTCACGGATGTACGTGGACACCGGGTCGGGCCGTCCACGAGCTAGCACGGCAAGACACGAGCATGGGCACGAAATAAATGGGCCAGTCCGGCACAAGCACGAATAATTTATGGGCCGTGCCGGGCCTAAATTTCATGGGCACGGGCACGACAGGGTATATAAGTGGGTCGTGTTAGCCTAATATATTTGACATTTGATTGAGTATAAGAACGAACATGACACAAAAATAACATTTATTTGATAGAAAATAAATATAGAAAGAAGTATAGGTTCAAATATTACAAATAGAATTAGAAAAATAATTATTTGTTGTTGTTAGAAGTTTCATAAAAATATATACGTACTACCATAAGTAAAAATGGACGAAGAATTAAACAAAGTCAAATCACACCCGCTATATTTCCAATTTGCTTTTCCGCCTTATTTATTACTTTTCTCAAACATTTTCGGTTAATACTATCTTTCTCAGTCCAATTTTTCACCTTCTTTTTCATTCTCTCTTTTATTTTCTTTCTTTTAATTAGACTGACTCCAACCCTAGAGCTAAAAAGCCATTTACCCATTTTTAGCTCTTTTTTGGTGCTCCAACCCACATTATTTTGGGGAGCTAAAAATGGGTATTGGTGAATTGGGAGCCTAATTTAGCTCCCAAAAGAGTGGAAAAGCCAAATTTGGCTAGAGAAAATGGTAGACCCGCAGCGTGTCCTCCTTTATTTTTTATTTTTTATTTGTTTCTGTAAAATTTTCTCATTGATTGATTGTGTTGTTTTCCTTTTTTCTTTTTTTATGTGGTATTTTGTCATTGGTTGATTGTGTATGTTGTTTGTTTAATTGTTTGAAAGAATATATGAATTGTTGTATGTTTAATTGGTATTTTCTCATTGGCCCCAAAGTTAATGGTAACAAAATAATGACTAATTTTCTGATATATTTTTTGTCTCGGAATTTAAAAAAAATTACATCAAATTTTTTTTTTCAAAAGTAATAACTAACTATAGAATAATTAAAGTGAAATATGAAAATTAGAGGTCAAATAAGTATGGTCTATTGTAATAAATTGAAAAAAGGGAGATGGGAAGCGAAATTTAGCTTTGTGTAGGGTTGGAGTGAAAATGAGATTTGGGGAGCTAAAAAGCCATATTTGGCTATTTGGGGAGCCAAATTTAACTTTACGGGTTGAAGTTAGTCTTAGACACGAATACGAGCACGACACGATCACGAATAGGCACGACACGATTCGAGCCGTGCCCGGGCCTGGGCCGGGTCTAGCAAAGTTAAAGAATGGGCTTTCTCGACACAACATGAAAACTGACGGGCCGTGCCAAGCACGACACGAAATAAATGGGCCCAAAGCGTGGCCGTGTCGTGCCGGCCCAAGCACGGCCCAACACCCATGTACATTCACGGATCATGGCTCCTTTACAGTCAGATCGACATTCCATCTCTTTCATAACCAATTGCATCTATCCCAGGGCGAGTGACTACTTCATTGTCAAGTAAAGAAATATGAAAGTGGCTTTGGAGCCTCACCTCCCGCCAAACCTGAAATTTTTTGTGTAGAAGCACTAAAAGAGCCCTGGCGTCGAAAGAAAACCTCCACTCAAGAAACTGCTCAACCAAGAGATGCCCACTATGTGCGGCCCCTTTTGAATCGATCCACCACATTCTCTTTACGTGCCCTCATGCGACGGAAGGGTGAGGGCAAGATTGGCCATCCTTAGCAGCTCCTCCCCCTCTCACCCCCATTTTGAAGTGGCTTGACTTTATGAAAATCAGATACCCAATCTGCTCCATTCAAAAGATTATCTTCCTTGTGTGGCACGCATGAAGAACGAGAAATGAACGTATTTTAAAGAACAAAGCACCATAGCTTCCCTCCACGATCTCAAAGGCCACACTTGCCTTCCACCACTGGACTATCTACCCCAAGAAGTTGTCCACACTTGACTTCAACTCAATCCACCCTCGAATCACTCTCCATCACCACAAAGTACTCATGACTTTGAGATAACAGTGTGATGGATCTTTCTTCAAGGTTTCCCCCGAGGCGGCTTATGGCATCATCGTTAGGAACGGCCATGGTCAAGTTTGTGATTGGCAAGCTGAGTCGCTACACTGTTTTTTCCCCACTTGAAGCAGAATCTAAAGCGTTACTTGAGGGAACACTCTTAGCTGTTGGCCTTCACAAGGCACACTTTGTCCGGTCAAATTTTTTTGGCTTAATCCAAGCACTTTAGGGCAACTATTGTCATAGCCTTGGCGTGCAACAGCGTGACTTGGCACCATCAAGAAGACCATTAAAGCTCACCCAATGATTAAGATCAACCACATCAAAAGGAAGAGCAACACCAAAGCAACCTGGGTTAGTTTCTCAAGCTAAAAATCAGTTGCCCTTTCAATAGATTCAGGATCTTGATGTTGTTGCCACACTTCTATAATTTTTTGATTAATTTTGGCTTCTGCCATAAGTAATGGAAATTCAAATGTCCTTCGTAAAAAAAAAGTGTCTTGATAGTTATCCATTAGCAAAGAAGAATTTGGCCGATTTTCAAGACGCTTCAAATATGAAGAATCTGCAGCATCATATATATTCGGCTGAAATTATCTTTGCGAAGGTTTTTCTAACAAAGTTAGAGTGGGCCTCAATCAATAAGAGAGTCTCGTGCCACCCTGCTGGGGACCTTCGCATTGACCAAATCAATGCACGAAACCTAAAAAGTAAAAACAATGAAACACAATTGCAGCTCCAATTTATAAAACTCATTCTACGAACTCGGAATGCAACCAACTTGAAATCACAGAAAAAGCACAAATCAAGTCCAGAATGATCCCTATGTTCACATTGGTAACTTTACGAAGGCAAACTTGGATGTAAGTGCATTTTATTTCATGGCAACTCCATCCATAGGTCCCTCGATCAGTTTCTGTTCTCCAAAGAGACGACACAAATATTATCATAACAAGAACCAAGTAGATGCTCAGTGAATACGAACCAAAAACTTGTTTCATCTTGCTAACGCAGCCGGAAAGCCACCCCACAATCAAGGGAATTTGAAGCTTAATACTCATCATTGCATCCACATTGATCAACCCAGAATAATTAGCAATCTTTTTGAAACATTTGAAATCTAGTGCTGTTATTTAACTCCTATCTCGTGGGGTTAGAAAGAGACGAAGCTGATGACAACACAACACTATACGAGTTTTTTCAGACACTGAAGCCATGGAAAATTGAGCAACAGAGTATAGTTAAACTCGAAACAACACAAGCAAACGAAGAAAAACAATTTAGAAACAAGGACAGGTACACAGAAACAACACAACACAAATTTGAATAAAAAGACTTTTAAACAAAAATGAAGAAGGGAAGGAACAACCTCAGAAAAACCCATCAATATCACTGGAGTGTAGCTTACACCAAGTAGGTTCTCCCTGCGAACAGGGGCTTGGCTCCACTACATCTCAAAAGAGTAGGTTGGATCATCATTAGATGCTAGAACTCATCATCTTTGACAAATTAGAACTTGAAAAAAAGTAACTTGATCCGCTAAATAAACAAATTCAATTTACTATGTACAACTTTTCCATAAATAATCTTTGACAAAGTAGAACTTGAAAAAAAAAGTAACTTGATCCGTTAAATATAAACAAATTCATTTTACTATGAACCACTTTTCCAAAAAAAACCATTATTTCAGCGCAAGTGATTTTGAGATTAGAAGCTAGATTATCAATGGCTCAGAAAGAATTCAGCTTTCTCGATCACAGAATATCAGAAGCAGAACTGGCGTTGAAGCTGTTTTAATTCTCATCACAGCCAATAAAAACACCTAGCCTACAAAATTCTAACTAAAAACCCAGATTGAAAACATTGAACTCAACAATTGACAACAGACTTCGGCTCATATTAAGAAATTCAACCATAGTTTTCCATTTGCTTCATCGATTCCTCTCAGAAGCGCGGATAATTGTCTAATCATTGCCATCCAACATAACCAAGCAAAACCATTTTCGTAGCGATCGCCAATCTAAGCAAAACAATAACAATACCAGCAAATAAATACAATGGAATGAAGATCGAGTTATAGCGGATGTCCTTAGAGGCAGAACTAAATAATCAAGATTAACCCCCACGTTAACACCGCCATAGAAATCAATTTCTGCCTCTATGACTAGCACAATTTACCATCTCATAAAAATTCAGATAACCAGCTAAAGGTGAAGAGGCACGAGCACAAAACCAATGAAGAAACACGAATTGAATCTAAAGATGTAATATTTTAGACATGTATCCGTCGATTTGACACAGAAGAAGCCACAAGAGAAAAGGGTACAAAGGCTAGGCTGCAACACTTGACGGCGAACTGTTCTGGCACGAGCAATGGGGCTTTCACCGTCACTGGCGCTTATTGCTCCTAAGCGAAGCCCGGGGTTGCATCGTGCGAAACTGCTATCCAAGTTCGAACGACTACACCGTCGGAGAAGCTGGTTGAATCAAAACTACGTGGGAGGCAAAAGCCGATGGAGAGAAACTGCGGATGTAGGAAGTGACGGGAGTTCCAAGATTTTATAGGCTCTCCTCCATGCTCTCCAACCCTAGTAAAACCCTAGTTCCCAGAACGGATGCATCGCCATTCGCCAGTGGTGGGTGGATCATTCGGTTTGAAGAATTCTAGTGGGCCGAGGTGTAGATTGGGTTCAGATCAGAATACTAATAGCCTGGACGAGGGCTGACAGAAGAAGGACGCTGATTAATAATATCAATGCAGGCCCAATACCTACTTGGCGGGTCCAGTTTACATTCCTTGATGGGTTCACCATTACATCCTACACAATTCTAAAATTTCACACCGCTGGGGAAGGAACGGGATATGGGTTGGGGAAGTGACTGTCGTAGCCTTAGTCTCAATCGTGCAGTCCTAACTCTTAATTCTGTTAGAGATGTTAGATAATTTTATCTCAAACTCACAAGCAAGTAAAGAAAGATGAAGAAAGACAATGGAAGTGAGAGAACTCTCTAAGTGTATTGTTCTAAAAATTGTGGATTGAGTACAAATGACAGAGATGGCTCCTTATATAGGCATCTCCACATACAAGGAATCAATGCCCCCTCATAATGGTCTCTAGCCATAACTACACCCATTATGTCCCCCATAATGCACTCTCTTAATATCACTCATAATGTGGCTAATAAGGGGACGAGATACGGTGACAACCCCTAAGGGGGTTGTCAGATTCACAACCCACTTCATAGCCCTTGGATACGCTCTCTCTCCTGTCTCTTTCTTCTTTTTTTAAATTAACGGTTAAGATTAAAGGAAGGATATTTTTTGAAGGGTAAAAATTTACCACACCCAATCATTCACCCTACCATATAAAAAGAACAAAAACCCTAACTCCTCCATCCTCCCTCTCTCTCTCTCTCCTCTCTCTCTCTCTCCCGTAGACATCACCATCTCTCCTCTCCCTCTCTCCGCCGCCATGGATGGACTCTGCCCTCTTGGCTTTCCCCTGCCTCTATAAGAAAATCCAATGAAGTTTCATAACCAGAGACGCGTCTCTCTTTTTCTTTGCACCCTTTATTACCTCCCTCTCTTTGTCCTTCCTCCTTCGTCGTCCTTACCCACCACCAAAGTTTTGTTCGTTTCGCAAAATTGGGGTTCCGTTTTGATTCCTCAGAGAACAGAGAAATGGCGGAAGGGGTGATTGAGCACAGATCCTATGCGCGGGTCGGCCTATTGGGTAATCCGAGTGACGTCTATTTCGGGAGGACCATCTCTTTTAGCCTTTCCAATTTCCGGGCCACCGTCGTTCTTCGGCCTTCCGACGAACTCGTCATCACTCCCCACCGATGTCCTCCCCCCGCGCCCCGCCGCTGTCCTCCCTGCCGCCAGCATTTTTTTCCAGATCTGATAGTCTCTACCGGTACCAATAACACTGGTAGCACTATTGGTACCAATACCACTGGTAGCGCTATTGGTACGCTACCACTACTCACTGGTACCAATACCAGTGGCTCCCCTATCATCTGGTACCACTATCATCAGTTTTTTTTTGTGTGTTATTCGCTACTGGTACCGCTACCAATGCTAGTGGTAGCGCTACCAGTGCTAGTAGCGTTGTGTTATTCTCTACTGGTAGCGTTGTACTGGTAGCGTACCACTAGTACTGGTACATTTTTTACTGGTACCGCTAGTACTGGTACATTTTTTAACGTACTGGTAGCGTACCACTAGCACTGGTATATTAATTACCATTAGACTAATAGATTGGTACACTTTTTAACGCATTGGTACATTTTTTCAGGTTGCCGGAGGGAGTCTGCCGGAGAGAATTCGTCGGAGAAAAAGTTTGTCGGTCAATGCGGAGTGGCTGCTGGAGAAAGGAAGAGAGAGAGAGAGAGATAGATAGAGATATTAATGTATAGGATTTAAATTTCAGGAAATAAAAATTGTATTTAATATGGGTTTTTAATTCCCAATATAATTAATACAAAAAAGGTAATTAATATATTCCTTTTTTTCATATCCAAAATACCCTTGGTTGTGAATCTGACAACCCCCAAGGGGGTTGTCACCGTATCCCGTCCCGGCTAATAAGTGCACACTAAAGCTCTCTTAAAGGTGGAAAATTATAGATGCATCTCTATGCTTCTAGTCTTCCATACACGCCACATGTGTAGCCTTCATGTTGTCACTTTGTTGGCGCCATGTCATCTGCCACATGGTACAAGACCCAGGGAGGCGTCGGGCACTTCTTGATGGTGGTGGTTTGTCGAGAGAGGACCCAATGCACGCTGGAGATTAAAGATATTAAAACAATCGCTTTTGGTCTCCTACGGATGGAAATGAAAGGTCTTCCACCCACCACCATCGAGACTGACTGCAGAAACGTCAAATGTCTATTTGGCATTGAAGACAAAAAAATGGATCCGACTGGAAGTTGGGCCACTACTGAAGGAGTTCGAGGATGAGGCCCATCAAATAAGGTCGGTCTAGTGGCAATTTTCAAGAAAAGAATGCAACCAAGTTGCACCCTTAATCGGCCATACGAAATGCAATTATAATTCTTATGGAAAGTGTACGATCCAAATATATAAGGACTTGTGTCGCCACGAGATGGACAACCCTTTTAACAGATTGGAGAACTCAAAATGTCATACCATATGGTTAGCGACAGGGAAGACAGGCAGCGGGATGGCAAGAATGATTGAGATAGTGGCTGGATCAAAAAGAGACTCGAGAATCCATTCTTTCCATGTACCCCTCCCATGGTTAATGAGGAAAGGCACAATTGGATTATACAATGACACTCTTGAAAAACAAAATAGGTCGAGAAGGGGCAGAAGTTGACAACCAAACATCGTTGGTAATGTGAATCAAAGTATCCGACCCTATCATCCATCGCAAGCCTTGCGCTAATACATTACGAACTTCAAGAATTCCTTGCCAAGCCCACGAGGAATGATTACCAGCCATAGCAAAGAGAAAGGTAGAATTGGAAAATACCTTTCTTTGTAAGTAGTAGCTAGTTGCCGATCATGCTCACGCCTATTTGGCGAGAAGAGCTAAATTATTGCTATTGAAATCTCAAAAATCAAGTCCACCATCCAAATTGTGTCTACAAAGAGAACGCCAAGAAGCTCACTTCACACCACCTTCTCTATCCTGATGACTCCACCATGATTTAGACAAATGGCTATTAAGTCTCATTCAAAAAGTCATAGGAAACGGAAACTAGTCATAGCATAGATGGGGTGTATTATAGCTACCGACTTAATCACTATTTTCTTAACATCTAAGGACATGGACCGAGATTTCCAATTATGGATACAAAGTATAAGTCCATCTTCTACGAACTTGAAGGTGTCATGCATAGATCGGAGGATCTTAATGGGTGACAAAGACAGTGATCATTCGGACCACTTAATATCACAGCCAACGTGGATAAGATGGCAATACCTGATGGGTGACGGCGTCTTGGGCCGAGCCCGTTATTATTATTATTATTATTATTGGTGTTTTATTATTATTATTTGTTGGGATATTCGATTATTATTCGGGTTATTCGTATTAGTTTGGGTCTAGGATTATTATTACGTATCTTGTTTAGGAAGTATTCGTTTACTTGTTGCTTTGGGTTTGGGTTTCCTTGTCTTAAGAGGAAAGGGGTTTGTAGGATTAGTCCTATAAATATGTACCTTTGCTCTTCGTTTTATTGAGTCGATCAATAAAGTATTAGTACTTAATAGAGAAAAGTAGCTCTTTTATCGTGTTTTCTAGTTCTTTCGCTAAATCGCTCGAGATCACCGGTGCGTGAAATCCCGTTCCGCATCAATACCTTCCACCAGGAACACATTTGTACTAAAAGTCACAAAAGAAGTTTGCAGATTCACCTTTTGGCCATTGATAGCGTCGTATTTGCACATGTTTGCACCCTTATTTCTTAACCATTTTGGCTCAAATTTGTGGTGTCTTGGCCTATTCTACGCTAGGTTGTGTTACTTTGTCACATTTCAGGTCCTAGCATGTAAATTGAAGCATAGGCGCAAGTTTCAAGTCAATCGGAGATCATTTGGCAATTCGGGAGAAGAAACACGAGCATGACCTGAGGAAGAATCGACTTCTACCTAATATTATGGACAAATAATCATGGAAGCTTGTTATGAAAAGAAAGAGGACTAGACTACGAGCGTCTGGGATCAAACGGTGACTGATTTGGAGTTCGGACAAGGGAGAAACGAAGCATTAAACAGAAGCGGAGGAAGAAATACGGGCAGGAGAAATACGATCATATTTTTCCTTCCCGTGCCCATATTTTCACTGCAGAGAGGAGCCTTGAATGTGGTGAAACTTAACCAAAACGCGTGTTTTGGGCAAAATACGGGCATGGAAGAATTACGACCGTATTTCTGCCCGTATTTCACCGAGAATCGGGTTTTTGAGGCAGCTTGGAGCCAAAGGTGAGGAAATCCAGTTTTGAGCAAAAGCAGAGTTTTAGAGAGAGAAAGTGCGAAGAACAAACCCTAGGAGCTATTTTGATTGGATTTCTAACTATTGAAGCCCAGATTGCATTCCCAGGAGTGAAGATCGACATCCCAGAGCATATTATCCTCATCTTTATGAGTATGACTACTCTGATCTCTGTTTTCCTCTCTCTCTATGGAGTAGAACTTTCTTTCACTTGGGTATGAAGAACCCTAGTTCCATGTGTTAGGACTCTTGATTATAATGACTTGGGATTGATATACTGATTGATTTTAATCGATTGATGCATGATTTGTTGAGTCAATTGAAGCTTGATCATCTTTACTTGATTTCTGCTGCAACCTAAGATAGATAGAATCTGATTAGGTTGTTAGAGCTTCATCAATCGGTAGTGGTAGATTGGTTATACGAGAGTTAATCGATTTACTGCTTTGTACTGGAATCCAATTCTTGTAGTGGAGTTATTCGTTTATTGCCTCGGCAGTCTATCCAGGTGAAGGCTAGTCGTCTGCCGGTTAGTCTTCCTGAGAGGGCTTGGACAGCTTAAGAGAT